CGTGGAAAAGGCAAAATGCCATCATCAAACGACTGTGCGTAGCTCCACTACCTCCAGGTTGCAAAGGTGAATAAGCACATACAGACGATGGTACAGTCCTCCATCATCCTTATCCATCCATGCCATCGATTCAGACGAATATGAGCGCCGTAGAATTTACTGGAAACAGAAATCACTAACCCAGAAGTTCACCGCTGAAGGCGCGGAAAGCACAACGTGTACTACTGCCTTCTACCAAATAATAACTGCCAACTTTTGAGCAACAAAAGACTGTCTCACGTCCCCTACACTGAGACGACCCATTCAACCGATCTTCACAAATTGATCAACGGGATGATGGTAGTTGAAAGTCCGTCCAAGGATGGACGTCGGGATGAAGTTTTAACTGACGTTTAGACTGTACTGAGATTGAATGGTTGAGGACAATGGGATGAAGTCGCCAGGTTTGAGTAACAACAAGATGAAACAGATGAACAGACTGGTATGGAACAGAGAAACTCGGGGCGAAGGCCACAATGCAAACGAGTGGAGCAGTCGGCTAATGATAGCAAGTTTAGCCATCTTACAAGCAAGTGCCTGAGCCCAAATGTCAGGCGTATAGGCAACTCTTGAAAGCTTTTCTCCAACTCGAACAGTGATGGTTAGAGCCGAGATGCATCCCCGTAAGTAGATATCTCAGTCTAGAATGCATGGAGGGACTGATGAATGGCTTGAGGCACAGCAGCAATCGGTGAGGCGACTCAAAATGTACAATGAAGATGTGAATACTGAGGTAACAAGTTAAGGCAGACTAAGTAAAAGAGCGTTTGGGAAGTCTCCACCTTCCTTCGCCTTACCGATGTCAGCGCGATTGAAGTCCTGTAGAATTTTGACCTGTTCATTGCGATTGGTAAGGAGGGCGTACTCCAATGGCGTCTGACTGTCGTTGTTCACTTGACTGGTGTCAGCACCTCGCTGCAGCAGGAGACTGAGACACGCGTTTGCTTCGTGGCTCACGCACAGGTGCAACGGTGTCTGCCCTCGCAGCGTCCGCGCGTTCAGATCCGCCCCATAGGCTATCAAATTCTCCAGATGTTGTGGCCGATTGGCTGCACAAGCCTACGACAACCAAGACAGTAGACAAAAAGTACTTCAATTAGCTGTCCATTAAACTGCCTCATTACCCGAATGTCTTACAGGGCTCGTCAAGGTTTGTCAATGCAAAATTACATTTGACATTGTTTGCTCAATCCTTTGCTGCATTCAAGTACCTCTATAAAGTTATGTTCATGGTTAGACAATTGTGTGAAAACTTGGGATGGTGGCGCCCTGAAACCTCACCAGCAAAAGGAGAAAACAGCGAGTAGAACGATTCCGTAGAGCACCATCTTGTGAAGCGCCAAGTCCTTCCATGACTGTGCGGTGACAGTGAAGTGGGAATGTAATCAGTGTTGCGTCAGCTAATTATTTATTTTATGATCTTGAACCAGCTTAGCAATGGGAACGATCTGGTCACTTCGTGTATGTGTGGGGAATCCAACAGCAGCAAAGGAGGCACTTCCAGCCTCCACCTGGACCCAACACCGCAACGCTCTAAGGCCACGCTGAAGGCGACAACACCCACTTCACTAAACAGCCGCCCAGTTGGAAGCGGAAAGCATGCAGCACCGCAAAATACCGCAAAAAAAATCCACAAAGGCCAAGGACAGGGAAAAGTTGGCAATGGTAACTTAAAGGTGCATGTTGAAAACACGGAAAAGTGTTTGAGCGAAAAATTCCTGATGCTGGGCGGTTTTTGCCTCCAGTGCAATCGACTGTGACTGGCATGAACATGCATTGCAGAAATTTACGTGATTTCAGACTAGAGGGAAATCGCATGCAGAATCTTCTTGCATAAAACCCCTTTTGCAATTAGCATCCCGTCATAACGTGTTCTGGGCTGAGGGTTTGCGATGTAGAAGGCAGGAGGAGGAGGAAGAGGAGCTCATCAGCTAAAGGAGGCGATTTGACGTACAGTTTCGTGAGTAGCTACGCCGTTGTGGTAAATTTCAAAAACTTTCCTACTTATTTTAGCTGGGAGGAGGTGGATGCTGCAACGTTTCCGCGCACTCAGAGCACATCACACGTCTTTAGTGAGCTAATTAACAACTAAACATCACCTTCACCCTCTACCGACGTGTTCGCGATTGAGGTAGACGAACACAGTTGGAGGTTGTCCCTTGAATTCACTATTACAACGGCAGCATCACCTAGTCTCGATTAACATTGAAAGGCTTCGCACAGAAAGTTTTGCGCGTTGTAGCTTGACGCCCTTATGCACCTCAGGAGTGAGCACTAAGCGAAAAAGGAGTGATAACCAAAAGCAAAGAGGTCTTTTGCCCCACGTGCGGACCCTTGCACGAAGGCCACGCGACAGACAGAAGGCGGTGGGCGCGAAACGCCTCTCAAGACCAAGTTCGAGATGGTGAGTGGATTCTCCTCTACCTGAACCGAATCGGGAGTGGTTGCTGTCATCAAATAAGCACTTCGGCACAAAAATTCGTTCCACC